GATTGTTGGTTTATTTCTGGACGGAGAAGGAAAACAAAGCTAGTTCATGCCACGTTGGTCGCTGTGATTTAGTGAACAAAGGAGAGTCTCTGGAAGCAAACCATTTCCCCAAGAAGAAGAGTTTTAGGGAATGGGCTGTCTTAATATTATTTTATGTGCTTGGAAGACCATGAATCTTGTGGAAATGTAGGTGTTGCTCCAGTTCCAACACTCCATAAGCAGTGTTAATTTGAAATTTGATACTGATTTGCCTTCTTGAATTTGAAAATGCCTCCACCTCAAAGCTCCAATATCAACAAGGGCGCAGGATTCAAGTGTGACAGCTTCATTTATTCAGTTTCTTTATAGCTGCTATTTGTGTGTATCTGTGTTTTAGGTATTTGAGGATTTACTTCTCATACTTGTGCCACCTGTTAGCCAGAAAAAATAAATTGTTGTTTTGTAAAAAAAACTCAGATTGGATCCAAATCTCGGATTGGATGTTTATTTCCTTTTAAATTTCTCAAAATGGCCTTCTCGTGCCCAAATGCCTTGGGAAGTGTTTGTTAAGCAGCGTCGTGAAACTCTAGCTCCGCGCGTTTCTCATCTGTATTCACTGGAAAGAACTCCCCCCAAGGTGCCAGACAGTTGGGTTCATTCTGCCTGGGAAGATCGTTGATTGCATTTTGGCTGCCCCACGGATGAACAGTTCCTTCGGCGCAGAGGCAAAAGATGCGTCGGGCAGCTCAGTGTGGAGCGAACGTAAGGCTCAGTGGTGTGAAAGATCTGCCACTGAAATGGACCGGCTAATCAGCTGCTGTCTCGGCAAAGCCTCGGTCACATGGAGGGACTTTGCCTACTTGGTGTGTCCAGAATTCATGCCTCCAGGCAGCTTCAACAAAATCAAACTATGAACCAAATATTTATTTATGTGTATGGGCAGCTTTTTCTCTCTCTCGTAAAGTGACTAAAGTGACTTCTTGCCCAACTCAACTAGCTTCCTTCATTGCAATTTCAACAACTTTGTCCTCGCAGACTTTTTCCAAAGTCACATGTGGTCTACGTTTGTGATTTCACGTCATGATTTGTGATTTCACGTCATGATTTGTGATATTTAACTACATATGTTTAAATTATTTTACCATACATTTTGTTTTTTTGCATATGCAAAAAAACAAAAATGTATGGTAAAATAATTATATGTTCTTAACTTGCACCTAATGAGAAACCTGCAGAACAGATGTCAGTATACATATCTTCAGTGGGGAATCAATGTACTTCCATTATATACCTGTTGATAGCCACTATTATGAGGTGTTTTTAAGAAATACCCCAAAAAGTGAATCAATTTAATGGACCTTGATTCAGCTTTTACTTGAACAGTGTTTAGATAGCCAATCCCATTTTGACATGATTGTGTTCAACACTAAGGAATGGAGGCACTTGGCAAGCAAAGGGCCCAAACAATCAGCCAGGATCAAGTGGCTATCTTCCTGATTAGATTAGATTAGATCCAGTAGTGAGACTCCATTTTTCCTCTCTGTGAGACCCCTGTACATCTTATCCTCTCTGAGGGGAAATATCTGCAATTTCCTCAGAGATCATGCTCTCTCCTTTCAGTGAAGAAGCCAAAGTACTTTAGAGTAGTTGAGATGGGGTTTATGGATTATTTTAATGGAGTAGAGGGGATTTTCTTTCAAGAGTTTAACATATAAAAAGAAACTCCCTACTGGTGCTTTCTGACCCAAGGTAATCGTGGCTAAATGCATTGTATTCATCAGAATCTAATGCACACATGCTGGTTCAGTCACTCGAGTAGAGTGTAAGTGATTTGTTTCAGCGTGCCTCGACCCATCTGAAAGATTCAGTCAACATTTCTGCTTAAAATATGCCCGAAACATATGCCACCGCTTCAAATGTTTTATAGCTTAAAAAGAAAAACACCCGGTATGAGTCTGTCTAAGGTGATTGTTTGTCTTTCTCCTCAGGTCAGAGAAGTTTGAATAGCAATGATGCAGAGCTCTGTTTTTGTAATAGAGGGGGCAATAAATATAAAAGTTTGCACTCATAAAGCAAGCTGAAAGACATACTGTTCTTTCTGTATTCGGCCAAATGTAGTTCTAGGGTCTGCATGTGTCCCGTAGAATACATTATCTAATTCACTCTCAGGCTATTTTGTTGTGTTTACATTGTAGCGTCTGGCTGCCTTGTGCATTTATGAACCGGTATTGATTATCTCCCGACTTGAGAGAGAGAGAGAGAGAGATATGAAGGAAGTTTTATGCTTGCTAATACTTTGACGGAGTTTCTGCTTGAGGAGAACATTACGTGAGCCTTGTCATCTGGTTGTGTTTAGACTCCGTATGCTCGGAGCTGGCAGCCAGATGGCTTCAGCTGAGGGACAATGAAATCTCCAGGGTCCGCAGGAGAGAAAGCCCTCATTCTGATTCGTCTCCTCGGATGAAGCCACATCTGGGCAGCTTTAGCATACCTCGGCATCTTGTGTGCGGGGGGACGCGGAGGCCTCGGCGGCGCTTTGTTCATCTGGTGCTGACTTGATTATTTGACAACAGGTAGTAATTTGTTGGTCCAATTGGAATTAAAAAGTATACACAACATACCCGCGTGTTATCGTCAAGTGTTATCCAAAATACTGGATGAGTAGTTGTGTTTAATGAAGTGGGGATAGTTATTTAATGAGTTGCCGAATGCGTGGCACTCCATCAGGCCTCACGAGAGTCATAGACAAATGCTTATTTACTCAAATGAGCTCACTTTGTTACACAATGGCGTTCTGTCTAGTTCGATTTCCGTCCGATCCTGAAGTCTTGCACCCCCCCTGTCACTTCAAGTACTACAGTGTGTGAAACTAACATATTGATTGTCACGCAAGACCAAAAGACATGAAGGATATCTTGCGCCACTGTTTGGCTTGTGATAGATCTTAGAACTTGTATTTCATTTCCAAAGATCTTGTTGTAGCTGCTATACAGTTATTTTAAGATCACTTCAGTTTCACTTCAACAGAGCTGTCATATTCTTGTTCCTGGCCTATAACTTTAATATTTCACGTAGAGCCGCTGGTGCAGTAATTAGCACTAATTGCTAAAGGATAAGTGCTTATAGCTACTGGATGGTCATTCCATGTGGCATGCTCAGTCAAGCTCTCATTTAAGAAAAGGGTTACAAGATACAAGGCTCCGCTATTGTCACAACACATTTCTGTAACATACATACGTGATTGAAGCTACTTCACACGGCTGAAAGATCCACCGGATCCATGTGTGAGGTTAGTTACCGTCTTGGCAATTGTTTTATGAACACTTGGAGTTAAAAAATGATGCCAAGCCTTCAGACTTTTTGGGAGATCTTTGAATCCATCAGTGACATGAATAATATGACGAACCCCTTCCTGTTATTGCCTCGTTGGGATTGAGACCCGGGGGGACGCAGTGTGGCTGGATGAAATCTGTAATGTGGTCTCCTCTACTGCTGTTGGCTGGGCGGCTCATTCTCCTCAGCTGGAGGAAAGCGGTGCCACCGTGTCATTAAAGATGGCCAAGAGAGATTCTGTTTTACTTGAAGCTTGACGAATCTAATTCACATTGAAAGGGAACGCGAATAGATTGGAAAGTGTCGGGAGGCATTTGACTGTGACGACCTAACCCAAATACCAGACTGGGAGAGTTCATAGCCTGACTCCTGCTTGGCTTGGAGTAACATTGTAGAAGTCCAACTAAGGGCTACTTTTTATTTATTTTTGAAATTATTATTTTATCTGCTGATTTTGTGATTTATAAACTGCAAAATTCCATTAAACAGAAGTATTAAAAAGGACAATATGTAGATAAGATCAGTTTCACTCAGATTTTACATTTTAAAATTAAAAACAGCACCGGCTTTGGATTCTTATCAGTATCAGGAGAGAATCAGTGCATCCTTGGTTGCATTAAGTCTTTCCTGGGACATGTATTGGCACATGATTAGCAGCTCGGAGCATTGAGTCTTGAGTGGTCCAGTGGTCAGATTGTCTTCTGTTTCCAACTATGTACAAGATAGCTCCTGTTGTTATTCTACGTGTCACCACGCAGGGCGGCACCAGCAGCTCCCCGAGCTTTGACATGACCACTTGCTGTGCCATCTCATCACATTTCCTGGCCTTTACCCCACGTCCAACCGGGTTTCTGACATATGTATACTCGAGTATCCTTCATCAACTTTCCCCTGCTGTCCTCAAGAACTCCACCGCATACCAGTCCTCTTCAAACGCTACATTTTACAGATGTATTGGCCGTGCCTGCACAAGGGTTTTGCAGTTGAGGAAATATAATAGACTCGCGGTTCATACGAGTGTTTCCAGATGTGGTGGCGTCGCGGGAGAGTGGAGGGTGTACAAACGGGAATGGTGGTGTCCTGACAGATAACACATCATTTGTCGAACAAGCGTGACACATGTCTAAAGGTGCGTTTCGTTTTCACAATAAACACCTTGCTGAAAGAGGAAACGTTTATTCTACATTGTCAAAATGCATTGAAGCAGACTTTTTAGTTTGCATTGTTGGGTAAGTTACTTTTCTTGAAGGCAGAATGATGGTTCAGGGACACACTTGTCTCTCAACCCCGGAGAAACCCGGGGTTCTATGTTACAGCCGGTGAAGGATCACAAACTCGTGTCTGCACCACTGACTCATACACTGGTTTGTTGTTGCCCACACGGTTGATCTGAAAAAGGAAAGCCACCGACGTCAACTGTGGAGTTGGCAGCAACACAGACTTCAGTGCGAGGCATTTACATTACATAGTGGGGCGTAAAGGACTTCTGGGCAGTTAGACATTCAACATCTACTTGGATGTACCTGTGTAATCACTCACAAGGATGTGGAATTCATGAAAATAATTTTGTAACTACTAAACAAACTGCATCCACATATTGAACCAGATATTTCCCCAAGTGTAGGTATTCCAAGTTTTGTCTTCCAATTGGTCTAAAAGCTTGTCTTTGCTTTTGTCACATCTTGCAGCATCAACAATAAATTACAGCAGCCAGAAGCTGCATCAGGGGTTCTGGAGTACGCCATGAAGCATTTTGGTGAACTGGTGAGTATTTAAAGAAAGGAAACCTTATCTTGGGTTGTATTCAGGCACTGGGACCCAAAAGAAATGTAGCCTCCTTTTGTTTTTTATTTCAATCATACCATTACATTGGCACAGTAGGCCAGCTACTGCAGAGGGCCTCTGCCAACCAACATGTTGTCACTTGTAACCGTATCAACAACCCTAACCAACTCAGAACTTTGCATTTGTTGATGCATCTTCAGACTGAATACGTTCATACTGGGCTGTGTTACACGTGGCCTCTTGTACACATGCTTGTCTTCCCGGAATATCCTCTCCCCGATACACGCATGGGGATGAGGGCCGCTGGAGACGCATGCCCCCAGAACCCCCTGTTCTTAATGTGCAGCATGAGGAAAAACCATCTGCTTTGCTGATCAGTAGTGAACTGCAAGCAGCAGAATAATGGACATTTTGTCCTATGGACAGGATGTTTGGATTTTCTTGCATTATGGGTCTCTACAGTCTATTGCTTAAAGGCGAGTGGTTTGTAAGGTCCCTAAATAGCTTTATCTAATGTGGCTTCTGATGGGGCCGAGTTGAAAGCCACAGAATATGTCACTATTTCTTTTATATTACTGAAAACTCCTCTGTGACCATGTTCTGTGTGGGTAGACCTGGTCCAGATATGAAATAACTGTCAAACAGTGGACATGCATTGGACCCCATCACACACATTTTCCACATCAATTCCATGAGTTATTTTCTGATCGTTCCCCCTCACTGTAACCAAAGTTGCATCTTTTAGTACCTGGTCTTGTTTGCTTGTTTGGATGTACCGGGCAGCCTTTTTAGGATCAGTATGAATTATGGACTTAAAGGAAGAATTCACCCTTATAATGACCATTTGTATATGAATTACTCAAGAGTTCTTGATGAAAAACTTGTCAAAATAATAAATTATACTCTAATTATATATTTATTTTACTGTAAAACACTTTAATAGATACAGGTAGGACATTGACGTCAAAATCTAACACAGAGAAAGTAGATGACATTCAAAACAGCCATGCCATTCATCTTGAGGGCTGTGATGGACTGAAATTATATCCCTCTCCTGTACACTCGAGTGTAAATGAGAGATTATAACCTTTTTATGACAATTTGTGCCTAACGGCTAAAAAAACCCAAATCCGTTAACGAGCAGAGTTACTAATACTTAATCTTTTTCCTTTCTTCTACAATCCACTGTTGCCACAAATCCAAATTCAAAGCTTAGCTGGTGTTGAGGACAAAGTCAATGTATAAAGTGGTTATTTTTAGCCTAAAGTCAAGTCAAATGTTTTCCCCTACTACTAGGACCCCTATGGAAAAGGTCTTTCCTTCTGCCTTTGTGAACAGCGTTTATGTTTCTCTGTAAAAGAGTGAAAAGACTCAGTCTCGCAGTCCACTTCCGGGAACCTTGTTTAGAGAGGCGATCATCTGGAAAGCTTTACTGTTAGAGGATGGAAGGTTTCCCTGTTTGGTATAGCAGTCAGGAATCATCAGTAAAGGTGGGAAGAGATCTATGTACAGTACGTAATCTACCAAAGGAAGTCAATACTTTTACATGAGGTCAACGTTTAGATAGAACAGGTCCAGGACTGATTGGTTAAAATGGGAATCTTTAATCTCTAACACAAAAAAAAACCCCCAACAATTTATTACATCGTCAAACGGTCAACATATCAAACATGTGTCTACTTTTTGTTTTTATTTTCTAGGAAATCCAAGCTACTTGGTATGAGAAGCTACACGAGTGGGAGGATGCTCTGGTCGCATATGACAAGAAGATTGACATGAACAAAGAGGATCCAGAGCTCATCCTGGGCAGAATGCGCTGCTTGGAGGCCCTGGGAGAATGGTATGTCGGGGGTTCTATCTGTTGTCTGAGTTCAGTGGGGCTGCAGCAGTCCGTTCAAATCTGTGTTCTTCTGGTCTCAGATTCAATGACACGTATTTGCCTCTACAAACACTCAGAGAGTCAGCATTATTGTTTGACTGACTTACTGCTGTGTGTTTTTTTTTTTTTTTTAAGAATACACGTTTCTTCAGTTTTTAACCTCTGCTCTAACGGATAACGACAGTTTCTGAGGTAGTATACTTGCAGTGAGCTATTCCATCTCCTATTTTCGTTGGCCGCTTAATTCCTAATGAGTCCTGACATTAGGGCCTTTAATGAGTAGTCAAAAAAAGAGAGAGAAACATTCCTAATTTCCTAATTCCTAACCGGAAAATGCACGAACAGGCGTCCAACGGCAGCAAGAGGCGCCGCCGCTGCAATGAAACCTCACCATGGCTGAGGCTCGACTCCATAACGACCGCCCGCCTTCAAGGAGCACTTTTTTTTTTTTAAGGGAAAAAGAAAGTCACAAGACGTCCCGAGTGGATCCAAATATGTGGATCGTCACCGGGCCCGTGACTCTAAGCAGATGTTAATGTGCTTACGTAACCTGCCTCTATGGGCCATTGTTGTGCATACTATGAGACATTTCACTAGAAAGTGATTCAGTCGATGATTCAGCTAAAGGGAGGCTCTGTGTGTGTTTGTGTGTGTGGACGGGTAAGGCGGGGAGATGATATAACAGTTGACCGGGTCATTAGTCAGAGGAGATCAGACTCAAGAGGGCACATTGTTCCGCGTTAAGGTAAGCGGATATTGTACAAGCGCTCTCTGTGATAATCCTAAACTGGTGAGTTAGGTTGTTAAATGTTTTCGGCAGTTGAACTCAAACATTAGTTAAGTATTGGACAGCTTTGAAGCGTCCTTAAGCCTACAATGTCCAATCAATTTAGCGTATGTGTTTTTGGTTCAAAGTGATTGGGCCTCCCCATTCTGTTAATCTTCACATAGCTTGTTTAATTTCTAACAAAATGCTGCTAATTGGCCCTCAAGCGCAAGCATGCAGCTGTTTTGGCATGTTGTGCTTGGGGAATGGAGGCTTGTGTGTCGGATAAAGCCGCTTTTTGACACCCCTGTATATCTTTCTGTTACAGACTAAAAAAAGAAATTGTTCCACACAGCTGATCTGAAAAAAAGCCAATAAGCATGAAAAGTAATGAAAAGTTGCAGAAGGCTTTTTTATTTTAGTACATATAATAACCTTTTATTGGATAAGGATAGTAAAAAGGATAGTAGTACCAGGATGTCGGTCCCTGTATTCAGCACTACTTGTGTTCTTGTATGTTACTTAAGATGCTCCACAAACCTGCACAGGGTTCCCCGGAGATCTACTGGGAGTTATGTAACGTGACCTACAATGATATGCTAATAAAAACCATTGCATTTAGGTGAGCTAGCTCCCTGGTGCTGCTAGTGTTCATGCTTGACTCACTGTCATGGTTTACTGGAACCCTTTTTTAAAGGAGCTTAGTAATCGTTAACGCGTGCCGTGAAAACGGACTGTTTATCCTGTCCAAGCAGGTACAAGGAGACTAACGAGAGCGTGAGGGAGGATCACACAGTCCTCTGAGAAGAGGCTCAAGTGAAACAATCCTGTGCAGGGGGACCAATGGCTTGTACTGAAGGGCCTTTAAAAGAGTCTTTAAATTGCTAAATTAGTGTCGCCTTTTACGTTTTATTCTAGCAACTTCTGAAATGAAAATTCCAGAGACGTGAATAATGGTCTGCTGAGTCAAATTAAAAGCTCTTCCCTCTGCTGGACTCTCTCTGTCTGTCTGCTGTAGACAAATGTACGGCCAGTGTGCCGGAGCGCTCTGTGCTCGTTGCTTTCATGTTATACGATATAGCCAGGCAGCTGCAGAATGGCTCCACTTCACTTACCTCAGTCCAAACCTGCCTCCCTCTGTCTCTCTGTCTGCGCCTCCCTCTGTCTCTCTCCCCCATCCAGGCTCGCTCCAGCATCCTGCCTGTAATACACATGCGGCGGGTTTGATCTCCCGGACAATGCCGTACTGATTGTTGTTAATGAGGAATTAGTCTTGGTTGGATGCACCTGACCCCAAGGGGAACATCCCATCTGTTTGCTGGGACGCTTGATTTTTATCAGACTCTTTTGGGACGGTACACTGATTTTAAGATGTTCCTCTTTAGGAACAAATGAAGGAATAAATAATGGCAGATGTAGAAGAAAGCCTTATCTCCTTCTCTTGCTTGGCTGGAAGTGCTTGGCTATTCTGGTGACGGATAACTTCAGCTGTTGTTCTGTGCAGGAACAGTACATTCAGTGTCTTAACATTCATGTATTCATTGTCAGGACTTTTTTAAAATCTTTTGAGGATTAAGACTTGACCAGTGCAGTATAGCATCGCTTTAGACACGTTTTAAAAGCCGCAGTTTATGCAAGTGAACCTGAAGATTGCTGAGATCGGCTTCATAATAACTGATGTCATCACTGGATCTGCTTCTTTTTTTTTTTTTTTTTTTCTACCATCTGAAGCCTGCGATTGTTGTTTTCCAGGGGGCAGTTGCACCAGCAGTGCTGCGAGGAATGGACGCTGGTGAGCGAGGAAACCCAGGCCAAGATGGCTCGTATGGCTGCTGCCGCCGCCTGGGGTCTAGGTAACCACTTCACGTCAGATATGAACTTACAATTGAAAATATTTGGAAGAAAAACAATGAAAACAGCAACGGCTCTGGCCAATTCCGCCTCACATAACCAGATGGGAACGGTATCCAGTCATAACATTGACATATCGTAACGTGCAATGGTGGAGAAAAGCAGGGACCACACTGCAGAAGCTTCCTCAGAGGTCTGCGGTCTGGCTCTGACTTTCTTAAATCAATCGTAAACCTTGAGACGAAACCCAAACCGCAGACCCATCCGACCATCTTTTATTCTTGTCAGTGGGACGCCAAATGTTGAGGTTGCAATCTTTTATATTCTAGCAAGCTGAGGTGGACTGTTGTTCAAAACAGCAGTGACAGTCAAACTTCAACCTGCCTCGGTCTTGCTAAGTTAGGGCTCAAGACATCCAACAAATAGCCGTTTCAGTCCTTAATAAAAACTCCCTACTTCAATCAGCTTTGGTGCTATTTGGTAACTTGATTGTTGTCTCTCCAGGGCACTGGGACAGCATGGAGGAGTACACCTGTATGATCCCAAGAGACACACATGATGGCGCTTTTTATAGAGCGGTGCTAGCCCTGCATCAGGACCTCTTCTCATTGGCCCAGCAGGTGGGTTACATCATCACTCACAAATACACCCAATGGATTTCTCCCCCCTCCTCCTCCATTTGATGCACATGAAAAGTATATATTTTTAGAAAACATCTCATAAAGACATGCCACATGGAAGTCTGATGTCTGGAATATTCATTAGTCTTTATAGCGAGGTATAAAAAGTTAAAATCATTGGAAACCAACGCTGTAAAGAAACATAAAAATGTCTTTACGGCTATTCCAGACAGGATCAAATTTCCCCCATCAGCTCAGGCTTTTCATAAAAAAGAGTGAAATGCACAAGGTTTGTTTAGTTTTTTTTCCTTTTTACACCGTGGTGTGGAAATGTTATGCAACTCTTGAAATTGAAAATCATGGCAGCGTTCGGCCACAAACAAATACAGATCCCTGTCCCTGTGGTGTTCTCCTCAATCGATGAAGGTTTGTATGTTGGATGAACTCACGCTCCCCAGAGATGGATTTGTTCAAGCTGTCTAACGAACACAAGCTCCAGCACTGACACCAGTTGACACCTGCTCCTCCAATCTCCTTGGACTCACCCTCCATGTCCCCTTTTTCGCCACAAAGCCCGGGAGACCTACTCTCGGTGCCCCCTCTTCCCTCCACAGCTCTAATTTGGAGATTAGACCCAGGTGTGGCCCATAGGATTCGACATCAGCTGAATAGGAAAAGCAGACTTTGGACTCTTGGCAACAATGAGGCTGCTCAACAATGAGTGGAGAGGAATTAAAAGCAGGTGGAGCGAGGGTGAAAGCTTAAATGTCAACATGAGCTCAGTCTAGTCTTCCGGATGTGGTTGGTAATCCTCCCACTTAAGTCCTTTTGATTCCATCGGGCTGTTCCTTTCCTCCTGTGCCAAGATTCGTGATATATCCAGCGCTCCGGTGTGCGTTTGATTAGCAAATTGTCTCATGGTTTTCACAAACTTCGAGTTTCCTCCAGCAGTTGATTTGGCTCCAACCGTTCACATAGAGGCCTTCATATCACGCTGCAGTGATAAAGTGATCTGACTGCACCTATGCAAGTAAGTAGGATCAACCTTTATGTGGGAGAATGGGAGATTGGGTCACGGTTTGTTTGTGCTGCCAGAAGCCAGACACTGCATTTATCAGGAGTTGTCTGGACTGCACGTTTCCAACGAGGCCCCATAGCAGTAATTCAGGAGTAAACAGGACCATAACTGAGGGGAGGCTGTAAAGAAGCAGCCTCATTGTCACCTCGTCCCAGCCGCCCTCCCACAACCCCTCCTCTAGTTGTGCATGCCTGAAGAGGTGTTTCGGCACGCCATTCCTTCTTTCCCTCCCCGCAAAAAAAAAAAAAAAAGATTGGTGAGAGTCGTTCTGAAACAGCTGTGTGCGCCGGCCTCAGAGAGTTTCCTCAGTCAAACTCCCTCATTTTACCTTCCCACTAATAACAGTTCCCAAAAACATTGGCTGTGGAAGCCCGAGAAATCAGCACATTTTCTTCCACAGTACCTGTGTCCTTGTTTGTCCCCTTTGCTGCTCTGGATCGGGTCGTTCACTCGGCTGCTGTGTTTTTTTTCCACCCCTCAGGGTTCTCCCTGCTGATGGAATGTCTGCTGTGTACTTGTTTGGAGAAGTGTAGTCCTGTTACGAAAAGTCAGGGAACTGAGTTTACCAATGAGTCGGTAATATACGGTAATACACCCAAAAAAACATTTTTAGGGCATGAATGTACTGTGTGAGCCGGTTAAACATCATGAAAGCATTTTGGGGAATTTGCATCACTGTCCTGGAAGGAACCATGACTAACCCTATTTTATTCAATCCCTATTCTCAAACCCCTCTCCCTGTCGCCGAATGGGCGTGCAAAATCAGGCTGTTTTTTAAAGATACATTTGACATCCACAACCACGGTTGCATAGCTTTCACACTGTTCATTTCCCTCCTCTCATAAAACACTTGGCACTCAGCTTTGCATCAAACCAGTTTTGCTAAACAAGCTGGTGTTCTAGTCCTCGCTGCATTTATGTGTCGCTGTTGGCTCGACTTAAATGAGAAGGGTGCGAGCAGCGAGCAATAACGTGCCTTTGTACACTTTGTACAAGGTGTTTTTATTCCCTGGGTTTGGTCCAATCCCGGCTGGTCCTGATGCGAGACGTTTTTTTGGACGGTGTGACATTGTGTTATGTGTACATGCTGGGGTCGTGTTCGCCAAATGTTATTGAGGAAACTGCTATTTGTTAGCTTTACTGAGAGTATCTTGGGTAGGCAACTTAGTTAGGTCATGGATTAAACCTTCTTTCTCATGTCAAGGATGTGCTGCGGCTTCAGAAGCTAGTTGACAATTGCACCATCAGTGCAACATTCAGGCAGACATTCATTTCATTAAAAGATCACACTGTAAATGTTTTATTGTTTATTCTTCATGTAGTGTATTGACAAAGCAAGAGACCTCTTGGATGCGGAGCTGACGGCCATGGCCGGAGAGAGCTACAGTCGAGCCTACGGGGTAAGTGAGTTAGACAAAAATATTCAGTGCTTGGCTTCAGAGGACCATCTCATTTTTCATAGCGTTCATGTGCAGAGGGATGATGCCACGGCATCACAATCTTATGAAAAGTTTAAGTCTCTGATCTAGCTTCTTTAGAAGTCAAAAAGCATTATTATTTGCAGTTTAACCACTCGATGAAGGTCCAGTGGCATGCTGAATGCATTTAATTGTAGATTCTGATCAATTTACAAGCTTTAATGATCCTTTTATAAAATATTGCACAGAAGGTAAATTTAATTAATGAACGTGTGGATAAGAATTAATGTGTGTGTGTGTTTTGGTCTCCAGGCCATGGTGTCGTCCCAGATGCTGTCAGAGCTCGAGGAGGTGATCCAGTATAAGCTGGTGCCAGAGAGGAGGGACATCATTAGAGAAACATGGTGGGAGAGGCTTCAGGTAACTGCAGTGTATGATAGACCGACACACACACACACAGACACACTCATGTGTGCAACTACAAATGTGAAACAGCTGTTGCAAAGGCTACTGTTACTAATGGGAAACATTACAAGACAGACGCCATACATACATACTAATACCTCAGCTAGTACGGATTCACCGCTTGATAGATTTGGGTGTTTATTTCTACATTTTGAAGTATATTTGTAAAAGCAGAATCATGTTGGGCTCTGGTATCATGTTGGGCTCTGGTAAGTTTACTGTGCTTGAACAAACTTCAGATGAAGGTGGGTGCTAACTAAGTCAAAGATATGGTCCACATGCAGCCAAAGCTAGCTACAATCTCTCCAAAATAGTCCATTTGTCTCCAGAAACAAATAAAAGAAATGAGAAGAGAAAATCTACATCTTTTTATATATTAAATGTTTTTAGCACACTGTCCACAAGTGGCCAAATGTGATTTGTGGGGTTTATCTCTGTTATCATCTCTCTCATCATGAAAGAAATGAGGTGATCTTGTGCCGTAATGAGTTTTTTAATATTTGCCCACTGAATGCAGTCGGCAGCAGCAGCAGCATGTGAACCACCCGTTCACCTTTGATTCCATTCACATAGCAGGTCACTTATATTAGTGTAAGTTGGATGATGACAAAGTGATATCAGATCCCGTGTTCGGATCGTTTTTTACATTAACTGAAAGTCATGACCATACGTGAGAGTTGGAACATACAGTAAAAGAAAGGGCTTGTGAATCATGAGCTCAGTAAATATAACTGCCCTCCCCCCAAAGAACCTACACACTAAAGAAAATAATATACATCATTCAGCGGCACCCTTACTTGCCATCGCCTGCATGAAATGACCATTGTAGGAATATTCAGAAAAAACCCCATCCAAACTTCCTGAGTCTGATTATGATTACTATTATGATCTATGTTAATTATGAATTACAGTGTTGTACGTGTTGTTAAATGAGACAGCAGGACGTGTGGAAGAACCACAAATGCGCAAGCGGTTGAGGAAAACTGTGCCGCCCGCCAAGTCTTTGACATTTGAGACAAATGCCATCCGATCCAAGATGATACTGTTCAAGTTCATCGTTTCCATGTTGGCCTTCAAGATGTGATTGTCTGGAAAAAGAGCCTCTGCCTGGTATGTGCACGTTGAGGGAAGAATTTTGAGTTGGGCAGAAAAACTGAGAAGCCATCGATCTGTGACGCACCATTCCTGATAACATTGCATCCAAGCTGCTCGGTTTAATATGGCGTTTATAATGCTGCTTACCCTCTCTGCCTGTTGGCGTTCCTGTCCTTCATATCCTGCTCAGATGTTACTGGCATCTTGGAAATTCCCAAAACCTGCGTCATCCTTTGCCCTCGCTGCAGCCCAGGGCGATTCTATTTGTCTTTTCCTGCCCAGCTGTTAGAAATGCACCGAACTCTTACTAATATCCTTTTGACATTTCAAAAGTTTCTGTGTAATTAGCTTGACCATTGAATGGAAACCTTGACACGCACCCACTCGAACCCTGTGCAGTAAATTGAAGATACTCTTGAACATCTCAACCTTTTCCAGACGGAGGTGGGTTGGGGGAGGTATTTAGGATCAAGAGGGGTCTTCTTGGGCAAACAGAGCAGCCCATAATGGCACCTGAGCTGGTGTTTCTTCTGTCTGTAGTGATTTATTGGAGGCTGACCTCACACATCTGTCTGGGAGTCACTGTCCCGCTCCCTTCTGTCCATGCCAGTCTCTCCCTCATCAAAGGATCATAGGTATGGCAGCGAGCGTATGAAAACACTGCACCCCAAATGTGTCAGAGTGAGTTCTTGCACTTCTATCCCCGTGACGACCTGTTGGAATTTCAGGCTCTTTGCTTCTTCTCGTCCTTTGCTCATGTGTGCTGCGCTCCTCTACGCACACATTTTCAAACCATTTAACTCACACTTTTACTGTGCCAATTCCATATCATAAAGGTCTAATATGTAACATTTCCACATCAAAATGTCTGAGAAAGACCAGACCTATGCTATTTATTTTGTTGAGTTTATTTCACCCAAATGTTTACAAGAATTTTCTAACCTAGAATAATTTAGTAATTTTAAACAAGGGAACAGTCAATGGCGTCATATTTACTTTGAACGTGCGTCAGGGTTGTTTAATCCAGTTTTAAGCCTCATTTTTACGCTGCACTTTTTAGATCTTGGTTATTTTTAACTATATATTTTGTCATCGGACGTCTGGATCTTAAAGTTATTGGAGAAACAAGCTGAGTAAACGTTCGCTGCACCTCAGCTCGAAGCCCCTCCGGGACGTCCCTTTGCCACTGAACACAGATTTTTAATAGGAAACCTCTTTGTTCAGTGTTTTTACCGGTTTTAATCACTGGGTCCGTTAGTTTTGGAGAGGAGGAGACATCTGCGGATAGTTCGGCTTCCCGGGGAAAACCTCCTGAATGCCTGAATCTCAAATTATTAGATAAACATGCTGAGTAAATCTGACCGCAATGACGGCAATGGTTGTGAAAACAAACAACTCCCATGACCCCACGCTACTTCATAATGTCCCCAACATCGTCTTTTGTTATTGCTTTGATTGAGAGACCCCTAGCACCAGAAAATATCATTGTGTGTTCAGCCCATTCTCCAGCATGATACATAGTTCTTTGTCAACTTATCTTTTTTTTTTCTACGTTTGCCCTTACCCGATAGTATACATCGAAGAAACAGACAGGAAATGTTGGGAGAAAGAAAGGGAGATGACGATGATCCACAGCTGGATTCAAACCCAGAATGTTGCGATTTCATGGTGCACGTCTTGGTCCACCATGACGCTCCGATGATATCGGCTGTTCTTTTCAATCAAGTTGCTTGAACCGGCTAATTTGGCACCTCCTCATCGCTTCTCAGCAGAATGATGTCAGTGGTCTCATACAGTTAAACCCAGACTAAACTTCTAATCACTGATCAAAGCTTCTGCCAGATTTCACCTACACTCGGCCTCTTATCCCGTCATGGTAAGCCCACTGCAGAAACTGAAGTATTTAAATCTAGCCTCAGCTTTAACAGCTTCCTAAAAGGCTTGTCCCGACATACTTCTGCTGCCATCTAAGGCATACAGCAAACAAGTTTCAAATCAGATTATGCCATGAAGTAAGCATGTGTTGGGTAGTGTTATCTTTGAAACTCTGTTAGCTGTGTTGTTGGTTTAAAAGACATCAGCACTGATTTAAAGACCTTGTTTGTTGCTGCTAGTTGCCATGCAGCCTACAATGACCCTTACTTGTAGCAGTGTCTGTAAATGCAATCGGGTAACATCAGTCATTTATATTATTTTGTCTACCCCCCCTAGACTTGTCTTAAATTCAAATCATTCAGAGCGGATTATACAGAGCTTACTTATGTTCACCGGAGCTGGATCACTCAGTGTCGCCTCCCCCTGCAGCACTGTGTTACATCACAATGATGAATGAGGTCGGGGTTGAGAGAATATTAGATCGTGAAAGTGAGCTAATGGTGCTTGTAAATGTATGAATACAGACCTGTGATTGTGAATGTTCTTTTCTGCCACGTGAACGTGTAGTCACGTGTGAACATGTTTAAGACAGAGGGACCACTGCTTGCATTAGTAGCCCCCTGGGTTTCAACCGTGCCCCTCTCTCACATGTGTTCATTCTCTTGAGTTTTAACAAGTAGGTTGCTCTCTTTTGAGCGGAGTAACAAAAGGGTAATGCATCTAACCGTCTGTCCCTTGTGATCTTTATGTGTTTCTTTTCTCTCCAGGGTTGTCAGCGCATCGTAGAGGACTGGCAAAGGATCCTGATGGTCAGATCGCTTGTCATCAGCCCCCACGAGGACATGAGGACTTGGCTGAAGTATGCCAGCCTCTGTGGCAGGAGCGGGCGCCTGGTCAGTACATCGACATATCTGTACAAAGCCCCTCAGCCGTCTCTGATCGGACCCCCGATCATGCGTGATTATTACGGTCCCATAACATTTAGGAGGAATGAATCAGAGTTGATTAAATCCGACTTGTCAAACGGAAAGAGGTAAGCTGAGCTCTGAGTTAAGTGCAAACATTAACAGCAGCCAAGACATTTAACTTGATTTCAACCTGTTTTAAGTTGGCGCTGATGAACGTAACACAGCACCCTCAATCGCACTGTTTAGAAACCCGAGCCTGCATATCTGCACAATTTTAAGTGGTGCAATTTTCCATCCTTTACTTCACTGTTGTTCTAATTGATTGCAAGGGATGGCAGACAATTGGCCAATTTTTCTCTCTGCTCACTTTGCGTTTACGGACACACACACACACACACACACACACACACACACACACACACACACAGAATGTGATTGGCCAACGTCGAACGTAGCAGGAAATGTGATTAGAAGGGGTTGGAAAAAATGACATTTACCATTTTCTGTCTTCACAAAATCTTTAGCACTTACTCATGCTCTGACTTACTTGCTTTTTTTTTTACTCTTTTGGTAAACGAACGTAATCAAATATTATCACAGTAGAAGTTTATCAAGCTCTTATTGTCTCGGGGCCCCCTAAAAACTGGGTTCTAATTAAACTATAAACCTTCTTGCGATTCATTTGCTTCTGTTGCCCTCTTCATCCCACCAGGCACTGGCCCATAAGACCCTGGTGCTCCTTCTGGGCGTCGACCCCTCCAAGCAACTTGATCACCCGCTGCCCACGGCCCACCCGCACGTCACCTACGCTTATATGAAGTACAAGTGGAAGAGCGCCCGCAAGGTAGGAGCAAACAGACATGTTGTGTTGAGTCGACATTTTAGTTCAATGCTTATATATTAATCATGTATCAGATTTAGCTTTAATGGCCCAGTGTGTGTACACATGGAAGGAATTTATACAGTGCAGACTGCACCACATACACACACATGAGGTAGGTTGACAGTATATATAGTATTAAGACCATGCTCATAATGTGTATATACCGTATGTCTTTGTACGAAAAAACAGGTATTACTTTTTTTAGGATAAACAGCAACGGGCATCGAGACTTCTGATGTTCATTACTGTTGTATGGAAGTTTTTAGTGCAACATGAGGCAACAATCAGAGTTTACAATTTTCCAGATTGTGAGGGTTTAAAGTACTGGAATGTCAGTGACATAAACAGCTAATTAATTGAACACTGTGAAGGAAACAGCCTGAGAAACATTAACACCAATAAACCGTAAAATGGAAATTGCAACCAGCCCAGTGATTGTATTGTCACGCTTAATGAAGCCGTCCCACCAGGATCTGGAAGAGGTGTTTTATGATCGTTAACAATGACTGAGCTTCCCAGAACTATTATTATATATTTAGTGTAGTCGGTTCTCTTTAGGTAACCGTAACCATAAAAAGCCTTCTGAAAAAAAGAAGCTTGTACCAAATATAAAAACAGTAAACCTGAAGCATAACATTAAACCAACCTCAACGTGATGAGGACTGGCTGTTAAATTGCAAATTCTTGTATAAATTAAGTTCACTGTTGTATATGCAGGTAGCTAGCCAAAAGGTTATGTTGTCTAAGTTTGCTTTCAGATAGCCCCCCCGCCATGTAGATTATGGTTCAGTCAACATTTAGAATAGTTTGCTAAGATTTGAAAGCTTGAAAGCAGCAACTTACAACAAAAATCAAAATAGTTTTATTTGCAAGCACCTTGTTTCAGTCCCTCCTAGACACAGTGCTAAAATCATGGAAACTCTCAATAATAAGGCCTGTGCCATAAAAGCAATGCGCAAATAAGCCAAATGAACTTCGGCCTATTGCTATATAACCTCCATATTGTGTGAATAAATTGAACGAGTTTTGGCCAGCCACTGGACCAGCACTGTGGGCACTACGCTGGATCCGCTCCAGTTCGCTTATAACAGCGACAGAGGCACAGGCGACTCTATGCTGACTCTGCTTAATAAAGCTACAGAACACCTTATGCATCCTAAAGGTTCTGTCCGTGGGATTTAGCTCAATAAAAGGCTCATTGATCTCAACATCAATTCTCTGTGGTCGATAGTTCTCTGGATCAGAGGGTCTGTGTCAGGGGGAGCATGTCAGACTGAGCTCAGGCTGCCCACAAGGCTGTGTTCTTCCTCCTGTGCTTATTCACTCTTTTTACCAATACATTCATGATCAATGGGAAGTGTTCTAGATTGTTTTTAAGTATGCTGATGACATGACCTTGGTTGGCCGTCTACAGAAAACAGACCCACGAGGTGTAGCCGGGGTCGCATTCGCCAGCTAGAAATCAATGTGGCCAAGACAAAAGAATTAATAATGTGCAGTAAAAAAAACGACATCTTAACACATGTTGAAACTGTGAACGTCTGTATTTACCTGGGTACAGTTCTGGGGTCTCATTTATAACCGTGGTCTGAAAGAGGCGTCGCCACTTCCCACGCAAAAGTTGTGATCTATAAAAACAAACTTGACGGGAGAATGTGCGCACCTGAAACATGTGAACATTTTGGATAGAGGGAGAAAGTTGATGAATGGAAGCCAGATTGTAGGAATTACATGTGAGAGGAATCATTACACTCCAGCATACTGAACACAGACTGTAAACATCTATCCGATGTGGGTATCCGCGGAGCAACCGCGAATACCCACACACACACCACCTCCACTCACTTCACCGGGCAAACTTTCACCACCATTGTAGCGACCATTTTGGAAGCAAACTGTCTGATCGCTGTAAACATATAAATACTGCGGTGACACTCTGCTGCGCCATAGATCCTCTGTTAGGGCTGCGTAACTGGAAGAATCAGGAGGGAATGAGTGTTCTTTCTCTCGGTAGTTGCTGTTATTCGCTGTAGAGAACCACATGATCAGCAGGCTCATCCTCATTCATCAGGTGCTTTACATTGACCATTTATGGTTGAATGTGGGCGTGTGTGAGGATGAACCAGCTGCGCACATTTACAGGTTGTGATTTATAAAAGGATATTGCGTACTGGCAGGCGTACACAAGGTTTTCTAAATCAGAATATGTTTTGGCGTACGTGCATTTCCTCCTCTGCACGTATGTTCACATTTAGTTTGCACTGTTTTATAAGTTAGACTCCCAGAGGTCTCATTTACTGAGTATATTTTCTTACAGCAGCTTTATCTTCTGAGGGAACTGGCCTTTTAAAATGTTCATCCGGGTAGACGATTATGATTTATTGTATTGTGATTAGTGAGATTTGCAAGTGTTCTTCTGATTTGACAGACATTGTTACCGTGTTTCAGACATTGCAGTGTGGAGTTTGGTTAAATTTGCATTCATTAGAATCCTGTAGCATCTTACAAAACGCTCAGTCTTTAGTAACTTCTGAGAGGTTTTGATCTTCCTATTAAAAGCCTGGGTCGATCAGTAAAACACACTCGGCTGTTACGTTTCGGTCAATATTGTTTTTATTCTCTTGTATCCATGGCAACAGTGGACGAAGTAAGCCTCACTTAATATTAGCGCTAATAATAAACGTAAATGTTTGTTCTGAACGAGCTGTGCTTTCTGTGGCCGAGCGTCCGGCACAAGAACACCCGCCAAACTCCCAACTACCAGCAGTGGTGACTTAACGGCACACTGCAGGTGTCACCGGAGCAGCCTGGGATTGAACTGCTCTGCCCTGTGCCATTTGTCCCCTCGAACACACAAACACACCGGCATTTATTGCCAAGTGTTGAATAGTGTTTATGGCTCCAGAGCGCAGGTCTCATTAGGGGACTTACGTAAGTGTGAGCATAAGCGTTGCTGTTGGACCAGCTGCACTGCTCACCAGAAAAATCGGAGTATATTAAAACACACACACACACTCACACTCACACACTCACTCACACACACACACGCATCTGTAAAGGACACATTTTCTCCATTGTGGACGACATCCCAAATTTGGGCACGGCTGCCTCTACTTTGCAGCGTCACAGTCGTCCTGGCTGTTATATAAGCTTCCAGCTGTCCAGCATTAAACTGACCGTCGGCTCTGTAAGAGCAGTAAGATGATGATAACAAATGGCATATAGGTGCGTCACTTTTGGCAGGACAGACAGATAAATATCGAGTGTGACAACTTAGTGTCTTCGTCAATTTAGCACCGTCTGTTCACCGTTTGTCACAAACCAAAACCCCGACAGACGAGAGTGTTTCTCTTGGTGACGCTCTACCTGCCTTTTGCTTTGTGTCTCTCCAGATCGATGCCTTCCAGCACATGCAGCACTTTGTGCAAGGGATGCAGCAGCAAGCCCAGCACGCCATCGCTGCCGAGGACCAGCAGCATAAGCAGGAGCTCCACAAACTGATGGCCAGGTCTGCCTTTTTCTGAAACCCTAACCCTTCACATGTCACAGTAGGAAAAGCACAGGTGTCAACGGCTACTTACTGGGACAATAGAGCAGAGCCATCGTTAACTTTATTAGTAAGACCTGTGCTTTTCTTACTCCAGTATGACAAGTCAAAAAACAAACTATGGTGGATATCAAGTGTCTGTATGCCCGTACAGACATTTTCAGTTTTTAATGATGGATGTACGGAAGTCCTGATAAAGAAAAAAAGATAATTTTTTCTAAGTAACATCTTTTTTTTAAACAGGTGGTTGGAAAATGCTTTTACTGGTGATTTGTTTTAAATTTTCTTTGACAGGATCATTTCTTTAAGTGTGTGTAGTTGTAATACTCATTTCGGCCACAAGAGGCTCAAGTGCACCGCTACCCCATGTTCTAAATAGGACTTAAAGCATTCATGACGAGGTGAGTTTTAATTTAACTTGTTGACACAAAGTATATGTACCTTATGTCTAGAGTACATGGGGAAATTAAAACTCACCCGGAAGAAAACATGAATGCTTTCAGTCCTATTTAGAACATGGGGTAGTGGTGCATTTCAGCCTCTTGTGGACACAATTAGTATTACAGCTAAACATACATAAACATTTGTAAAAGAAACGTCACCTTTTCACTTGTTTTCACAGATGAAAAGAAAGAAACCTAAAAAAGTTTGCCCCAGCCGTTTCACTGAAAAAACAACTAGTAACTTAAAAAGATTGCCCTGATTATCCTGATTCCTTATTCTTTTTTTCCACTTATTTTTAAGTCATAAACACAGAAGAAAAATGATTTGGATCAGACTTGGAAAATGGGGCACCATTTCTGTTTCTCACCTGGCTCTCAAGGCTTCCGTAGGGATGGCCCCAAAATGCAGATAGAATCCCAGACATTTTTCACTGTCATTTCATTAAAATAACTCGCAAAACAAATGAAGTTCTGGTGTAATTAGCTTTGATCTCAAAGGCTCACCCCAAAACTGAGTCAAGTCCTTAATTCGGGGGACTGTTCTGGAGAGAGATGCTTCACAAAATCTAAAATCTTTTAAGTTTTACATAACCACAAAGTAGTTTTGACATTAGAATGTCTCGATTCAGGCAGAGACTAATAAGTACCACCTGCACATTCTTGTGGTCAAAGGCATTTGAAAAGAACCAAGGGGCATCTATAAACTATGTTGCCATCGAGTAAACACGAGCTGGAGATCAGTCAGAAGCAGCATGTGTGAGTGGAGTCAGTGAATGTAGACAAATAACTGAGAAACTCCTCTTGGTGGTTTGTGAGACAGTGAGCAGTGTTCAGCACCTGCTGCTTTCATCCGCTAACCTCACGAAGAAACGTCACCAGTAAAGGAAAGTGATAATAGTTATATTACAATACAGTGAGCCGTTGAGTCCCCATCACAGAGGACGAGGGGAGCAATGTTGAAACTAATATGTTGTAGCATTACATGTAAAGTTCTTCTTATCAAGCTATTACAAGTACTAAGATAGATTTAAAACATTGAGTGCTTTGAAGAAAACTCACTGACTCTCTTCAGTCGGATGCACAGATACGACCGACTCCAGTAAATATCACCGGTGAAGCTCCTGAGAGGAGGTCAAGTTTACCATGAGGTAGTGCCAATGGGTCATCATGCATTTAGCTGGGGTTCAGCAGCATCACATCTCAGATTGTGCCTCTGTGCCAGCTTCCATACACCCACTCCAGCACGATGGAGAAAACACACAACGCAACACGCGTCAGTCAGGAAAAAGTAACCTCATGTATTTTCTGCCCTCGTGTTGTAAACACAGGGTCGTGTACGGTGCGTTCTGCTTCTTTTTTATGAGCGTGACCCAATGCGGCTTAGCACCTTTCCTGCTAGACCGCTGGCGCGCCATGGTCTTTTTTTCAAAGCGGCCCAGATTCTCGGAAATGTCTCCCCTCAAACGTCTCAAAAAAATGATCCCGTTTGTGCAGTTTGTCCCACAGGTGTTAAAAGGACCGGGTGTGTCTGCACCTGCATCTCCCCTCACCCGGGTGTTGTGCTCTTCAGCTGACAGCCCTGGCACAGTCTTGGCACCTCTCCACTGGGATCGCCTCGCTGTGGGATAAGAAGCTGTTTGGAGTCTGTTTCAAGCAGTTGTCAACACAACACCGGATTTTTTTTTTTTTTTTTTTAAACGTGACATTTAAATAGCTACCATGTGTTCTCAGATGCTGATTTTGGGGGATTAGAGAATGGAAAGTTTCTTATTCTCCCCCAAATTGCCGGGAATGACTTCAAAGTCTTAAAGAGGTTGTTTGCATGCTCTTGTGGGCTCATGAAAATATTTGAGGAGGATATCGTAAGCTGTCTCATTTAGGTGTGTGATAGTTGTTTTTGTAGCATCGTGTTGGTCAAACGACTCAAAACAAGTACAAAGTGTGTCCTGGCAGCAGACAGCTATAATCCTATGTACAGTAAATCATACAGTAGTCTCTTCAGGTCTTGTGGACAAACACACGCCAGTCATGTGCAGCCGCCCATCTCATGAATCATACATGGCAGCACACAAGCGTGACAACAGGCAGAAGGGGCTTTTTTTTTTTTTTTCTCTTTTCTTTTTTTTTTTTCTGACTTTTGCATCGTGAAAAAGCGTGACTGTCTGAGGAATGCATGTAGGGGGGAAAACACCTGTATAATGTCAGTCAGGACGGGTGCTCTCCAGACGTGCTGACACACTTTCATAAATACAGGTCGGCCGTGTGGTATGGAGCACACCTGGACCGCTCAGTCAGACGCTCGCATCCGCACAGTCACGTGGACGCCTCCACTCTCTCCCCAAAGAATCCAGTGGAATTTTCAGCGCCGTTTTTTACTAGAGATCAATGACCCTTGCCGTCGCCGTTCGAAACAAACATGTTTTTCAGAGGTCCCCAAACACCCCGGCCTCCTCCAGCCTCTTCCCCAAAAGTTCAACCTGCTAACAGTTTACGGAAACAGTTTGGCATGGACGCGCTGAAGCCAGACTGTGCGCTCGCATGGAAAAGCACTCAGAGGCAACCACGCAATTCCTGAAGAAACTCATCGTAGGTGCTCTGCAGACAGTATTCAGGCTGCTGGTGGATGGGTCCACAATGCAGCGCTTGCCAGTTGCTCAGTTTAGTGTAGTTGTGTGTGAGTTATACGTCTTGGCCGCTCCAAACACGGCTAGTGTTACTATTTGCCTGTAAGCATCTGTGTGATTTTGTTTGTGTGTGTGTGTGTGTGTGTGTGAGGGTGACGGATAGAGCTAAGTCCTCCTCAGAATGCCACAAAGCTCACAGTCGGTTTAAATTAAAGGAAAAAAAATGTTTGGACAATTGAAAGTCTCCGGCTGTGATCCCAGAACCTTTCAGCAGATGAACACACTTTGCTGCCTTTAGTAGCGATGCTTTTGATAAATGCCTGCGTGACATCAAACTGTTGTATCCGGCTCACTGCCAACTCTCCAGAAGCAATGACGACAATAAGCACGGTTTTAAACTCCTGCTGACGTTTCTTCGTTGTCTCGTATGTTGTCACGTAGTCATTGATGTAGTTCTTGTTGCAGAGCTTCTATGAACAGCATTGCCCTCTGACCTCAGTAACTGTTTTTCTGTTGAATGCCAGAACATGTCAGCAAGTCTGATTATCATTTATAGAAACGAAGCTGGTCATAGGAGGTTCATTGGTCGGGTACCACTTCATTGTTAGCGTGCAGTTTTTGTAAATGTTGGTGTAGAAGGCAAACAATCTATCTTCCAACAGGTCGGGCAAAGTGTAATTTAAATGATAGTCTTGGCTGAACTGTCCCCCTCTTGTCTTTCTATCTATCCCTTTCCTTTGTGCAGGTGCTTCTTGAAGCTGGGGGAGTGGCAGCTCAGTCTGCAGGGCATCAACGAGAGCACCATCCCCAAGGTTCTGCAGTATTACAGCCATTCCACCGAGCATGACCGCAACTGGTACAAGGTCAGTGTCTCCCTTTTAACTCTGACCTTTCACTTTTGACTTCTCTGTAGCCGGACTAAAACCCCAGCTGTGTCAGCAGGATAACTTTGGAACCCATTCTATTGCCCTCTAACCAATCATGTTTCGTTTCTGCCTGTGTGCGGCTCGTTTATTGTGATCACCCCCCCCCCCCCCCCCCCCCCCTGTCCCTCAGTAAACTGGAAAATGACATCATGCACAAAGCACATGCAAGTTGTTTCCAGTCACCACCTCTTATCCTTTTTCACTCAGTTTGTGTCGTCTGTCCGCAGGCCTGGCACGCCTGGGCGGTGATGAACTTCGAGGCGGTGCTGCACTACAAACACCAGACCAATGGACGGGACGAGCCGCGGCACGTTGGCGCTGCCAGCGCTAATAGCGAAGCCAGCAACAGCGACAGCGAGGTTGACAGCACCGACCACAGTCCTGTGCCCTCACCGGGACAGAAGAAGGTCAATGAGGTGAGAGTCTCAGAGAATTAAGCCCTCTTCACCCCCGCCTACAGGTGCTCTTCTCCTCTCCCAGCACTCCAAGTCCAACCAAGGTAGAAATACTGATGCAGATCCCAGGCTCCGCTAGTCCATGTCGATGTGTCCTTGGACAAGACTCCCCAAATTGTTCCTGCGGCGTACGGATGGGTATGAATGATTAGATAGTCCTGATGGGCAGGTGGCCCCTTGCATGGTAGCCCCTGTCATCAGTGTGTGTGAATGGCTGAATGATGACATGTAGTGTTAAAGCGCTTTGAGTGGTCGGAAGACTAGAAAAGCGCTACACAAGTACATTTACCTCGCCATCTCCATAAATGTTTGACACCAGTACAATACCTTCTCGCTAATAGCTTCTTTTCTTGCATGAAGCATCTGCTGTTTGCTGACCCTCCTCAGGACCTCTCCAAGACACTGCTCCTGTACACAGTTCCTGCTGTACAAGGTTTCTTCCGCTCCATTTCCCTCTCCAGAGGCAATAACCTGCAGGACACACTCAGGTGAGTTGAGTGACTGAAGCGTGAGTAGTCCAAGCAAGCTAACAGCACCTGTGTTCATGGACACCCTTAGCACAAGTGGTGCGTGGGGATGGGAGGACCTCTAGTGGTTTTATTGTGACTGCACCGTGTCATGATCCTTAATAACAAGGCACTGCTTTTTGTTCTGTTCAGGGTTCTGACTCTGTGGTTTGACTACGGCCATTGGCCTGAAGTGAACGAAGCCCTGGTGGAGGGTATCAAAACCATTCAAATAGACACCTGGCTGCAGGTAATACATGCGCGCGCGCGCACACACACACACACACACACACATACACACACACACACACACACACACACACACACACACAAAAGGAGTTAGCCTAGAGATAAAGAAGTGTGTTAAAGGAATCCCTATCAACGATGCATAAAGGTTTGGACATGGCAAAAATGTATCAAAAGAAAAGATTTTTAAAAAACCTTTTGATTTGAGCTCTTGTGGCGTCGATGCTGTATTTTATATTACACAGATAAAGCCAGGTCACTGAGGTTTTATTCCATTATGTCTCTGCCTGTGCAGGTGATCCCTCAGCTCATCGCTCGAATTGACACTCCTCGAGCCCTGGTGGGCCGCCTCATCCACCAGCTGCTTACAGACATCGGGCGGTATCATCCCCAAGTAAGTCTGCTCACGCATACTGCTGTTTCAGAACAGAACCAAGAACGCGCCTTTTGTGGTCACTTAAAGCGGTACGTTCGGTGAGTGTTGGATTGTTCTCTCTGTTCACCTCCCAGGCTCTGATCTACCCACTAACCGTGGCCTCCAAGTCCACCACCACAGCCCGCCACAATGCTGCTAACAAGATCTTGAAGAACATGTGCGAACACTGCAACGCTCTGGTCCAACAGGCCATCATGGTAAAGGAATTTAATTATTGCTGCTTATCATTACTCATTAAAATTATTTTCACCCTTTACTTAGAAAAGGTCGTTTCTTGAGGGGTAAAACTTCTGTTTGTCTGTTTTGCGCCTGCAGAATAAATGTGTCAGTTGCTCGTTGCCTCCTCCATCTCTCTGTTTCACATTCATGTTTAGTCTTTGGTCCCATAAAAAACTAAAGTGGCAGCGTTACAGATGTGCATCAATCTGTATCATAAAATCTGAACTTCTTCCTCTGCCTCTAACGTGCACTCTGCTGTAAACATGAAATGAAAAGAATGCCTGAATGTAGATATTATGTAGATAATACCCATGCAGACCAGATGCCTGATATCTCATACCCCTTAGTTTGGAGGGGCAGTATCAGTCTGACCTTATTCATCTTCCTTCATCCAGGTGAGTGAGGAGCTTATCCGGGTGGCCATCTTGTGGCACGAGATGTGGCACGAGGGCCTTGAAGAGGCGTCGCGTCTTTACTTCGGCGAGCGTAACGTCAAGGGCATGTTTGCTGTGCTGGAGCCTCTACATGCCATGATGGAGAGGGGACCACAGACCCTCAAAGAGACCTCTTTTAACCAGGTGCGTGCCATCTCAGATTGGGGTTGAATTTCGAGTTTACACCACAAACTTAAGCCTCTGCATGTCCCCCGTGCGACATAGATTAAAAAGTTGCACGACAGTCTTGTTGTGTTCAACAAATTACGCCACAAATTTCTTTTTAAACTGTTGTTATAAAAACTCAAATACAAATGTTGTGTTCCTAATTAAGTTCCTGATTTTAGTTCTCAATATGTGGAAAAAGTAAATACCGCTTTGTAAACTTCAATTACATCAGTTTGCAGAGATTTGTTTTCACTCTCGCGTTAATCTTTTCTGTTGATTAGTCTAAAAAAAAAAAGTGTCATTAACACACTGTAAATCGAAAACGTAAAACAACAGATGAATATGTTTTACAGGCATTGTAAAATGAACTATGTATATTTAGTCGCCTCACAATGACTGTGAGTTTGTACACAGGACTATTTACTTCACAGCCATAAGTCATACCAGTGACCCTAACTCTGAATGTTTCCATTCAGGCTGCCTTTTGCAGATGTGCGCTATTAAAAACAAAATACTTACTGAAAAACCCTGGATTAATCAAGTTGGAGCAGTGATGTTTAATGCCGTGACATTCAGTTTTATAGTCCCGCTTTGGCAAACCATTTTTGGTTTAGTTGAATGAGTCATTGTACTAGGACAGCGTGCGTTTGTCTCACTTTATGCCACAGGCTTACGGCAGGGACTTGATGGAGGCTCAGGACTGGTGCAGGAAGTACATGCGCTCTGGAAACGTGAAAGACCTGACCCAGGCCTGGGACCTCTACTACCATGTGTTCAGACGCATTTCCAAACAGCTGCAACAGGTGAGTGACACTACGCAGTCACAGAGCACTGAATCAGTCGTACTCTTAAAAAAACTAATCCTAGAGGAGAGAGAAGACTCTAAGGCTCCCGGTAAAAGTAGAGCTGACATCCCACCAGCTCTGCATTCACATGTCCATCGGGTGTGATGAGATATATTTTTGCCTTTTACGTCACGACTCATTCTTTGATCTCATGGCAGCAGGTAAATTTGCGCACGTACTGTCTGTAAAGGGAATTCAGAGGGATGATGGACGTCAAAGAGGAATGGCAGAGCATCATGAGAAAGCATCGCTCCTTTTAAAAGCAGACTGCTCTTCTCTTGATAATTAAACTACCTTTTGCCTCACCAAAGATTTTAATACACTTGGTATCTAAATGCTCTTATAAACACTCTTATATCCCAGACATATGGATATGCTAATATGCACATTAATATTCCCATAATGATCTGTATGCAGAAAAGCTTTCACATGGAGACACCGTATCCATATCTGGATTCACACAGGCTGTTAGCCATTTGCTTTGGCGACCTACTCAAAGTCAGTTTGCTAAGTCATGAGGAGAGGGGCTTAAACTTTATCTCCACAGGTGAAATTTAAGTGCTAGATGTCGTTCCTCGCAGCGATCATTGCGTCGTGACAGAACGACATTTCAACAGCTCTTGCTTCACATAGCAAATGGAGACGGCAATACTATCTGACATTGTTGGGTGGTCCCGCTGTCGGGGGGGGATGCCCTACTGCTTTGACGTTACAGTAAGCAGCATGAAATACACAGCGACATAATAAGATGCTGGGAGCATTTTATTCCCCCTCCGGGCTTTAACGGGGAAATAAACCCTCTGCAGGATGCATCCAAACAGCAGATCCACAGCGGGTTGATGAGGTAACCATACATTCAACTGTAAAAGCATTTAAATGGATTCAATGCGGTTTAAATCACTGACTGAATGCCGACAAGCAGAGGGGACATCTGTTGATGGATACGTGGACAGTGAAATGCTACAGAGTGATTTATTAAAGGTGGTATATAAACAACTTTTTGCACATAAGACCTTAACTTGGATACGGGCCAGTGTCTTTAAAACTGTTGGCAGGAGCTGTTGTATCAGTGCTTTTTTGTTTTGTAGTTACACAACAAACTAATTGCCTAGTCCTGTGCTAACATCTCCACCTCATCAACTTTCCCCACAGCTGACCTCCCTGGAGCTACAATATGTGTCTCCAAAGCTGCTGATGTGCCGGGACCTGGAGCTGGCTGTACCAGGCACCTATGACCCCAACCAGCCTATCATCCGCATCCAGTCCATCGCCGCCTCCCTGCAGGTCATCACCTCCAAGCAGCGCCCACGCAAACTCACCATCATGGGTAAGATTAGGAGGAAATTGCGCAGGCCTTGTGGCTCTGAACCCAATATATTAGGAAAATAGATTGAAGAACATCTGTAGTTGTATGCTTTCAGCAGGCGTGGGCCATCGCATTAGAGAAAATTCAATATTCATAGAGTCTTTACCCAAACAGCTCCAAGGCCACTATTTATTTTGAATTCATCAGTCGTGGCAAAGTTCTGTTTGTGGATAATACACCAGAATAAAAAGCTTCTTTACAAACAGAAGCAAGATTAAACCTGTGATTTATTTATTTATTACAAAATTAATCTCAATCACCACCAAAACCCCCCAAAACAAACTACTTTTTTAAAACTCAATTGACAGGGAGTTCACGTCGTGAGTCACGGGTATTGCCATTTTCTCTCCGGAGAAAAATGGTGCATGCAGGTCAGATCGATTTGTCAGTAATCCTTCCAACACCGTCCACTGGCATTAATTTGAATACATAAAATAAGTAATTCTGACATTTAATGCCCTGCTCTGCTTTGTGAAATACGACTCCGAGGTGCTTCTAAAATGGCACGGCACTATAAAGTCACCTTGTCTAGAAGCCCAATCCTCAGATTATCAATCACAAATGGTTCGCTCCACTTCACTCCTTTTCTACCCCACAATGTACCTCGTTCTGACGTTTTCCATCAGCGTTACACAACACACTCTGTAAAAGACGATGGCCAATAAATCAACTGACCCCCTGGAGCACGACTTCAGATTAAGACCTGTCACCCACTACGGGCCGCTTGGATTTACTGTCGGCGCTCGGTCTCCCCAGTGACACACAATACATTGCTCACTGAGATTGTCATTAGGAGCAGACGGAGGATAAAGCAGCGACTCGGTCGAACTCGTTCCACCGGATGTATCGGTTAACTCCATTGAAGGTGGTATGATAATTCCAGTGTTGGTACAAATCATTGTAGTGTGGTCTGCTGAGAATACCGAGGACGGTACAAGATAGTGGAACAATAAAGTGACGTCGTCTGCACTTCAGATAAGTTAAATACTTTCCCCTCCCCGTCCTGCTGAAAGCTTCCTGATGCTGAAGAGGATTTAGTTGATGTCACAGTTCATCCAGTGCACAGATACATATTTTCCTCTCCTCGTGAGTTGATCGAGTTAAATGCCTTGGCCGCAGTCACCAGAACTTCACGTGAACTTCACAAGGTACTTTCAGTATGTACTTGTGTGTTTGTGGGGTTCTTTTCCATGGCAGAGTCCCGTCATATCTGTCGTTTCGGAGAGCCGTTCCGAACCACGGGCGACCTTTATGCGAGGGATTATGGGGAGCAAGCTTACTCTGAGAGCGCCCGGGTTCATATGAAATCATTTATTGCCGCCTGCTAAAAAGTCACTCGGCATTGCTTCAAGCGGAGGTAATGGAGATGCAGCTGCAGAGCAGCAGGGGAGCACCCTGGAGAGAACAGCCAGTAGCTGCCAAATCCAAGCACATAGCCGTTCTTATGTAATGCCTCAACCCTTCTGAGAGCGGTGCATCGACGCTGTGTTGTGTGGCGCCCTCTGCAGGCAGCAATGGCCACGAGTTCATGTTCCTGTTGAAGGGCCACGAGGACCTGAGGCAGGACGAGAGAGTCATGCAGCTGTTCGGTCTCGTCAACACACTGCTGGCCAACGACCCTGCGTCCTTGCGCAAGAACCTCAGGTACACACACGGTCATCATCACACACACACACACACACACACACACACACACACACACACACACAGACTCTGAGGTACAGTACACCTCACACTTGTCTGGAGCACACACACATACTCTCACAGTTGTGGACATGAAGGTATTGAAAATAAATAGTGCATTTGTTTGTCTTTTCTGTGTGTTGGGTTCACCAGCATTCAGCGCTACGCAGTGATCCCGCTGTCCACCAACTCGGGCCTGATTGGCTGGGTGCCCCACTGTGACACCCTGCACGCCCTCATCAGAGACTACAGGGAGAAGAAAAAGATTTTGCTCAACATTGAACATCGCATCATGCTCAGGGTGAGGAACCACTAACGTCCATTAGTAGGGACGCACTGGTCGATACCGATGTTTAAAATACCATATTAGCCGATTGCCGATACCAATGTTCTTGTTATTGTTGATGTTATTACTTAGTTGTTGCTGTTATTTAAACCCCTTCTGTACCAGGGAGCTGTTATAATGTCAGTCAGCATTTCATTACCCTGTCTTTAAATGAGCACAAATGTATGGAACAACTTTTACTATAACCTCCTTTCACATTAATAAAACGTTCTTAAAAAAACAAAAAAGACCCTTTAGCTGCTATACAGACCAACAAAGATATTTGTTTTGTGAAATGAAATGTAATTACATTTGTAATGGCAATTACAAACGGTGTTTACCACGCATCAACTTTACTTGGGCGGGCTGTCCAGGTTTGATCCATGATCCGTACAAACCAACACATTTAGTCCGCACTAACTTGACGCAACACAACAGATAAAAATCGCCCACTGCAAGGCAAATATCAGCCGATAAATCAGTGCGTCCCTCGTGCATTTTAATTGAAAACAGACAGAATTGACATTATTTGCCGACGTATGTGTTTGTTTACATTATTACAGCAGCGTTTTCTCCGTTTCAGTTACCTCGCCCAGCAGTATTAAAATGTTAGAAACAATTACAGTCCATTCCCAGGACGGATCTTAATTATGCTCACACATTAATGTGTGATGATGAGCTAATGTGCTTGCATTATATTCACTGTATTGGGCCAACAGTTGTCTCATTCATGAATTGTGCGTACGTTTGATACTAAATACTAACTAGATTCATCAAAGCTGAGGAAGCGTCTGTTTGCAGTGATTATAAAGATGAATACCAATTACTCTTTAATGAAAACACATTCACAGGCCCTTAATTGTCTTGAGTTAACCTGATATCTCCGCGTCAGAAATGCCCAATAAAGCATAGAGAACGCATACATACAAAATCCTCCCTCTGGAAAATGTCACCACAGGAAGTGAGAGTGATGATGACAAATGGGAGCAGAGACGGTTGAGACCGAGACATCCGCTGTGCAAAAAGCTTTACAGAGAGTGGTGTGATTGAAAACTGTACACCGAAGAAGGAACATCAAGGCTACAGGAGAAAGGCGGAGCTGAAATGTCATTGGTAAAAAATAGGATGATGGCATGATGATGTCCAATTCAGTGTTCATTTAGTTAATTTGCACTGAAATATGTCAATAACCTTTATTACCATGACTAAAACGAGCAATATCGACAGGACTAAATTGTTGTTTAAAAAATACAAAACACCAAAATCGCTCTTTATTTTCGACACCTAACACCTTCTGTTCCCCCTCTCTCTGTAAGACACACACACCGTCTCTGTCCTTCTTGTCTCTGTCCTCAGTCCTGACAACAGTGCAGATTGGCACTCCTAGCGGGCCGGGCGGGTGCGACCGACCTGCACATCACTAATGACCCGAGTCAGGACGACTCGGAGGAGCAAAGCTGTAGTCTTCTTCATTCAACCTGTTTTTTCCATCAGATAATATTAAATAAAATTGTACGCAAAATATGTTGGACTTCAATGACGAAATTATTGATTTTGGTTAGATTGACTGAAACGTTCAATAAGACTAATAATACAATAATATAAAATAAGACAAAGACTAAAATGTAATGACTGGAATAAAACTTTTTGAGTCGACTTAAACCACACAAAACTTAAACTGTGGGGAAAGGAAAGGAAAAAAATGACTAAAACTAATAACCATGATAGAAGTTGCACTGTGAACACGTTTTCTTCTGCTGGCATGTTTTGAATAAGATTTTATTTTTAATCTACTAATAGTGTTATTAATGATGTGTTGTGTTGGGTTTAAGCCGTTTAAATGTCAAGATATTAAGTTGAACAGTCAGTCAGCCAGGCCATCAATCAGTTGTAGATGAATCATGAAGCAGATGGTTGAGTGAGACGATGACCGATTGAAGTCTTTTGGAGTTTCACCGTGTTTCTTTCAGCTCAGTAAATATAAACTATTATTCTGGTTGTTTTCACTTCTGCCTCAGGTTCACAGGGAACTCAGCTGTTGTACACACCTTCAGGGCAAACACATACAAAGTTACTAAAGCCTTTTCCTTCATCAGATTAGGACCCTCAGTGTAGTGGGACCTGCCTTCCCCCTAGTTTCTCATTCGCTATGACCTGAACCAGTTTATATTTCAGTATTAACACAACCTCTTAGCTGTAGTTACATTAACACGTTGAATCCTTAACAGTATTTCACTTGAATTAATTCAATTTCACTGTAGGTTATAACGCAGACAGTAAACATTCAGTGTGGAGAGTATCAACTTATTTGATCTCGTATTCATTCAATAATATATTGGCATCAAAAGCACATCATACAGTAACTGAAGTTTAGTTTATTAAAGGTGAAATCCAGCAGAAAGCAAAGATCATTTAGACGTGTCAACATATTAAACATGAACATTGAAGTATTTTAATCATCTTCTGGAAATTGCGTTTGTCCTGGAAACTAAAATGATATCAGACTCCGTCCATTGTGATGACATTCGGATCACTCTGGTGACTTCATATTTGTGCACCAACAAGTTGTAGTTTTCATTTTCATTTTTAATTGAAACGCAGAATCCAATATCCTTCACTTGTAATTGGCTTCGAAAAAGTTTAATGCCTTGAATCGTGTCTGAACTCGCAGCGTTCTATTGGAATTCAACGTCTGCATGTGTAATGGGCTTTGTTTACTCCAGATGGCCCCAGACTACGACCACCTGACGCTGATGGAGAAGGTGGAGGTGTTCGAACACGCCGTCAACAACACGGCCGGAGACGACCTGGCCAAGCTCTTGTGGCTGAAGAGCCCCAGCTCTGAGGTGAGATGCTCAGCGGAGGATGATTGAGAGTCCTTGATCTTTCCAGCATCCTTTCTCACATTCCAGAGGTTCTCTGGTAGAATGTTCAAAACATGCAGATCTATAAAATCAACGTTTTTGGCAGGTCATTTTTGGAAAGGTTTTCAGTTGATGCAGAGGAAACACTTTGTTAAGTGTATCCAGTCTCGGATGTTTCTAATTATTTTTGGGAAATACAGAAAAATATAAGTGATGGTTTCCCTGAAGAATCCGTTTTCTGGATTGTGTGTCCCACTTTCAAACCACTGACTTCACAGGACCCAACAAACAAACAAACAAACCCTTCAAATTGAATCCGTTTTGAGAAGCAATAATATCTCGTGCTCCTGATGCTGTGCGCGTGACAGAGTCTGGAAAGAGGCGTTGAGCAGCCTGCAAGAGATTTCAATGTCATTTTCCGCACTGTTCTGGTTGAAGGTTGTCATAATGTCATCTCTCCTCCAGGTGTGGTTCGACAGGAGGACCAATTACACCCGCTCCCTGGCTGTGATGTCCATGGTGGGCTACATCCTCGGACTGGGTGACAGGTGAGTTTCTCATCCAAAAGAACACATTGTTATGATATCATAAGACATTAACATAGAGATATTTCTGTTCTCCAGGCATCCTTCCAACTTGATGTTGGACCGCTTAAGTGGCAAGATCCTCCACATTGACTTTGGAGACTGTTTTGAGGTGAGAGGAGATTTTTCTTTCAATGCGTTATCCACAAATTTATGTTTTTGATTTATCCGAGACTGACGGACCCCCATTGCATCCTTCACAAGGTCGCCATGACCAGAGAGAAGTTCCCTGAGAAGATCCCATTCAGACTGACGAGGATGCTGACCAACGCCATGGAGGTATGTAACTCTTGTGCTGTGATAAACACTGTTGTAATAGTGTGAGTATGACTGTGTGAAGGCTGTCTTAAAAGGAATAAAAGTAAAAAAATAAATAAAAAAAACCTCCTAAACAACTGGAGAGGTTTTTAGAGTTAAAAGCATGTTTAAAAAGCTTTTAAAAAGAGAAATTCAAGCATGTAACTACATAGTACAGAGTTGCACCTCCACCAAACCTCTAAACACCACATCGGATGCTGCTCTTCACTCCCAGATACATTGACATCTCTTTAACGTGCAAACACAAAGCTCCTGAGGTTTGTGTCCATCGGTTTACGTCTGATTATGCTTCAGGTGACGGGCTTGGACGGTAACTACCGGATCACCTGCCACACAGTGATGGAGGTGCTGAGGGAGCACCGGGACAGCGTCATGGCCGTGCTGGAGGCTTTCGTCTACGACCCGCTGCTCAACTGGAGGCTCATGGACAGTAAGAGATCATCAGCTGCTCACCGTCGGTACATTCAGCATAAAGGAGCACAGACGACCGACATATTTCACGTGGCAGACTGAAGGAACCACGGCAGCATCACCTGACAATAACAATAAACTGGACGTGAACAGGTTCAGCCCACAAGAATACATTTGCGAGGGTGACTCCACTTGATGTGGAAACTCCTTTTTTTTTTTGAAGTGGTTGAGAGTTTGAAGCATTACATTTAATCAGACGGGGCTAAAAAACTAAAGCGCGCTCCAAGTAGTAGAATGAAAATCTATTTGGCTCGTATTTGGGAGAGGAAACGTTTAAAGGAGTGGTGTAGACGTCTAAAGGTCGTTGGTTCAATTCAAGTGAGCAAAAGTGAATGAATATCTCTGGCACACCTTCTCAGCTAATACTGTCTGGCTTCCCTTAAGACGAGCAGCATTCATCAGTTTTACTCTAAATGAGGGGCAGTATTTTATATTTATATTTCAACACATAATTATTGTCATACATCATTTGTCGGCATTTATTTTGATAATTAAAAACGGTTATAAAATCATGAAAATTGGTTTCTGAAAATACTATTCAGAGCACATGTTTTTATGTTATTTTTTTTGACTATTTATGGTTTCTGACCCTGCAGTTCCCGCATGAGTTAGAAGCCCATGAGGCCTTTCTCAGTTTCCTCCTGCATTTTAAATTACTGCAAGCATTTTCATCACCACAGTAGGAACCTTAGTTTATGGCCTTAACTACTTGTAAAGGTTAGAAACGAGCTTCTTTCTTCTGCAGTTAAAAAGGTTAGAACAATGCTGCTGCTGCTGCTTCCTGTGTGATGGATGAAAAATACAATATAGCCATTGTTGAGGAAAAAACTCACACATTTCCTTGTTTCTTCCACAGCAAACACCAAAGGCAACAAGCGTTCCCGCACCAGGACCGACTCGTACACCGCCGGGTCAGTGGGTGAGTCTGCAACACAAACCCTGCGCCGTGTTTTCTACGTGATGATGTTAAGAACATGTTTGAACCTGCCGCCTCGCTCTGTCCTCTGCAGAGGCCCTCGACGGAATCGACCTGGGAGAGACGACGCACAAGAAACCCGGCAGCACAGTGCCCGAGTCCATCCACTCCTTCAGTGAGTCGCCGACTCATTCTGTCTGCCATGGATTGATCTGTTGAAGCCTTTTAGTGTGTTTTATTTTCTTCTTTTTCTCAACAACTCAAAGCTTTTTTTGCTGTCATAAATGATTGGTGTAACTGTTGTGTTATTGTTAGGCAGCACTTCAGTTGATTTGAGCTGCAGAGAGGCTCGGAGTAGAGAGAGCACTTACATTCACGGTTTCTAAGTCGGTAGTAGTTGTTGATGCCGTTATGTTTGTGTTTTTTTATTTTATTATTAGTCGGAGACGGATTGGTGCAACCTGAGGCACTCAACAAGAAAGCCATTCAGATTATCAACCGAGTGAGAGACAAACTTACAGGTGAGTTCCACACCGAGCTGCTGTTTGACTCCAGTTTTGATCTTCAACACAAGCCTGTGGGTGAAATACAGATGTATCTATTAAAAAAAAAATGGAATTAGTGAATTACCACGCAAACAAAGTTGCAATTTTTGTGGAATAACTTTATGTTAAAAAATATATTTATTCACAGTTGTATTTTTTTTCCAGTTTCTCAAAAAAACAATGCTTCAGTGCAGAAATGCTGTAGAGGGAAAAGTCAAGTGGTCCTATGTTTGTCTCGTACTTTACCTTCTTCAGTCACATTATTATGATCACACTGTAAGCTAACCCACCATCTCTTGGTGTAGAGGAAAGGACCTGAACAGTCCTAAGAAGACCCCGGTGCCACTGATTGAAGTGCTTGAAACGGGAGGGATCCAAACCTCCCGGTAAAGGTTGGGTGTTCTGATGAGACTTTGTTCCCTGCAGGTCGAGACTTTTCTCACGATGAGACACTGGACGTGCCAACACAAGTGGAGCTCCTCATCAAGCAAGCCACATCACATGAAAACCTGTGCCAGTGCTACATTGGATGGTCAGTACTCGCCTGTAATTATTATTATCATTATGCCTGGTATTTTCTTCCTCCATATTGAAGTAGACTGGTGATGTAGGGCCGCAGAAATGCACAAATCCGTTGTTTTCCCACATTTTTTAATTCACTACTACATCAGTGGTGTTCAGCAGATTAAGCAGAACGAGACAGACTTCAGCGAATCATTACTTTTTCTGTCTCCAGGTGTCCATTCTGGTGAAGAACCGCCTCCGGCAGACAAAGTTAATGCTTGACTTTTTGTCCTCACTGGTAAACCAAGAAGAAACGCTCAACTCAGATATTTCTCCCGGTAAAGTGCTTCAGCGACACAGTGCCGAGCCTCTGAGAAAGATATCTTGTTTTGTTGTTATTGTATAAATATCCGATTTTTTCCAGTGGCAATGTTTGAAGGTTGTGAGAAAGAGCTCAGTTTGGACCTAATGATCATAATTGAATTCAAACTGCTTCAAATGACTTCCCTCGCTTTTAGCACCATAATCAGTTGCTAAAGCTTTCTACGGCAGCCATATTGTAATAAGTTATGACATTTCTTACTTCACACACTGTTTTAAAAACCCACCAGTCCGTTGTATCATTGTGTATTAATGTGACCGATTTCAATAACTAACTTAAACATTCTTATGAAGTTTACTCATGACAAGTCAAATTTGATTTGAGAGCATGATAATGTACTGTCTGTGTGCCATTAAACCCTGTACAGATACCACTGTGACCGCACTGTGTCCATTTACCTGTCCGTGTTGTTCATTTGGGTCGAGTTTGTCTCACCTACTGCAGGTGAAAACAGAAATATATAAACAATTAGAAAGATCTCCATTAAGAAGCATGGGGTGTAACGCTCCCTTTGTTTTTCTATTATGCCCACAGAGGGCACTCTGACTCCTGACAAGATCCTCCTCCATCTTTTCAGGAATTATTTTGGGAGAGGACGCATTCATCAGGCCAGAGATGATGAGATCGGACTAGATTCTCATCTTAAAAACCAGACCAAAAAAAATAAAAAACCCAGAAATACTTTAGATCTTCCAACATTTGCTCCCAGTTTGAGACGAGGCTGCTCTGGTCTATGACAGCAGCTATATTTATCCTCCTCTTTAGGACCACAGGGAGATGCGGCCATTCACAGAGAATGCAGAAATACAAGACAGAAATAAAACCAGCAGAGGCAGCAGTGGAGACAACTATTAATTTCCCTGTGCTTATCTGGTCAGTGCAAGGTAGCTTCTGTTTTACTTGTGCTCATTGCTATTCCCCCTCTCATTTCTCCATTTATTCCTTCCCTGCATTCTCCTCTGAAGGTTAATTACTTATAGATAGTTAAGGATTACGGATCAACAAAAAGCAGCCCATTGATCTCTTCCCTGCCGTGCCCACCTCTGCAATGTCACACTCTTTACACATTGGGACAGAGGCCTGGTGATTATCTGTTCATATCGATCCATTCCTCCTCTGTTTTCCCTTGGTTCCTCTCCCTCCGCTCTGGCACTTTCCTCCCTCCTGCCCGCCAAACGCTCGTCACTGAGAAATGTGGCTTTTCATAGTCGTGCGCCACCATTTCTGTTGTTCTCTCTCTCACTCGTCTAATTTGTTTGTGTTTTTTCAGCCTCGGAAGTCTGTCGAGAGGCACGCGGGTCAATAGCTCAAGTTAAATAGGCTGCATTGATTGGGAGAGGGATTTAGCTGTTTACCAACTGTGGAAATGGGCTCGGGCCACAGAAAAGAACGCTGCGGGAGTCTGCATGGGAGGAAGTCGATGGTGACAAATGATTCTCATTGCGAGACAATGCCCCTAAATGAGGGAAGGTGAAGGGCTTGGCGGGCACAGGCTTGGGGATGCAGCAGGCCGTGCTCCATCAGCCTTTCAGGTTGTCGCATGAGGCCATCCAGGCCTGGCGCCTTGAGCCAAGACATGAGGAATGATGGGATTCAGCAACACATTCGCAGGTATTAGCCCCCTCCTCCCCCTCCCTCCCAACCACCACCACCCGCTGGGACCCAAGCCAGTTTCTCTATCCTGTTTGTGTTTCCTTCATCCTTGAGCTTGTATTCCTCCACAAGAGCTCCCCACTGGGTGTTATTCCACTTCCTTGAAACCATCTTGAGCTTCTCATGACCCCTGGAGTGCTCTACCCAGCACTCAGGATAGGGAAGACTGGTAAAAGCATCAAATCACCTTCAATTTCTCATCTTTTAATAGTCAAACAAAACTCAGGAATTATGAACATTGTGAGTCTGTCACTTTGCCCTACGTGCAACTTTACAGCCATGTTGTCCAACCACTGTTTCTACAAGAGAAAGGCAGCTTACGCCTGTGGCTGAAAGGAGGTCTTGCAACCGTATCTTGATCTGTAAAATCACTTAATTTTTAAACAGTAACAGCGAAGGCGACCGCTGAACAAGGGACACAATTCATTTTTCTCTTCAGGGATCACCGGCGATGTGGGACGGAGTACAGGTCTTTGTGTCCGCCTGACGGCTGCACACCGGATCTAATTATGGTGTCATGAAAATGTATAGCTCTGGTAACGGTGTGCAGAGCAGGTGTGAGGAAGTGGAGCTGGAGGAGAAACTTGCAGCCTTTAAGTTTTCTCTGAGACAAAATAGTCCTCTGCCTCCCGGTGGTTATGAGAACACAACACCCCCCCC